CCCCCCCCTCCCCATAAACCATCCATCCATTTGTCCAGCTATCCAACTCACCTCCTCCACACCATCTGCAAGGCGAAGCTTCTCTCCACGGCTTAACGTAGCCAGAATCGGAACACTGTCAAGAAACGTAACAATCTGAGAGAAGAATAAATGAACTCAATGAATATGCAAGCCAGCATACAGAGCAACGTCATCTACTTGCCTACCCCAGTGAATGCACGATCAAGCAAAACAGCAAAAGATAGAACCATATTGCACAAACTGTGTCCATTTGACAAACATTTCGAATTTCGAATGGAATTAATACGAGTATCACAATCATTACACCTCCATTCAACCAACTCACCGTGAGGGCACGCGTGCCCAGCCTGTAGTTCGTACGGTCCTGAGGAGTGTTCTGCGATGTTTGTGGGTCTTTGATGATTACGTCATTTTCTTGCATGGGGTCTGAAGTATTTTGTGAGAGCATAGGGACATCAAACATTCTCATCATGACATAGAAGTAGAATGTTATGGTGAGGGGATATGATATGGGATTATGTTGTTGTGTTCTATGTGGGCAATCGGCAAGAACTGTGAGCATGTATGTCTTGCAAATTTCTGACTTGTGTCCATGGCCCTTGGCTCAGTGGTTAGAGCACCGGTGTCAAATATGCATTGTGGTCTTAGGTCGCAGTCGAATCTTCAGGCCTGCAACCTCGCGCACTTCGGCCCGCGGGTGTCGACCGACAGCAGACCAAGGACGCACCGAGCACGCAAGTACCAGCGTCTGAACCCCTACCGCCCTCGCTCAGTGGGTGGAGCACTGGCAGGAATCCGCATTGTTGTTCTAGGTCGCAGGTTCGAATCTTCGGACCTGCGGCCTGCACATCCAGCCAGCAGGGCGTCGTTGACGCAGAGGCCAAAGTGGTACACCGAACACACACCTGGTCTGATGAACCCAGTATGTGTCCATACCCGACCGCGTGCATCGGATCTGCAACGAACAGGTCTGAACTGTGGGATCCAGACATCGTTGCTGCCACAGCAGACGCTGTGCCTAGCTGTGCGTGCTCTGACGTTCACACTCAGACATTTTGTGGAACCACCGGAGCACATTGGCGCTCAGACATTCTATGATTGTAGTGATGCGACTCTCATACGCCGCGCCTGGCTGTGCGTGCTCTGACATTCACGCTCAGACATTTTGTGGAACCTCTAGAGCACATTGGTGTTCAGACATTCTATGATTGTGTGATGCGACTCTGGCAGAATACATGCTGGAATCCCCCAAAAATGACCCTGGAACACAAAGATATATATAATGGGGATTTACAACCTCGAGAGAGTTTTGAAGCTGACTGCTGGCCTTGGCATTCAACAGTACAGCTATCCAAACGTCAAACACACAGCCCGTGCTAATGTTCCAGTCTACTTAAAGTGAGGTCCTACTGGGTGATTCATGAAAACCCTCTCACAGAATTACAAGCATCCCCTATTACAAACTAAGCATGAATACCCTTTCCATAGTGCTCAAAATCACTCCATAAATAAAAGTAATAGGATGGTGGAATTCACAAGAAGCATAAAAAATGTACTGTTGATGTTCGTAATCCACAGTTTGGAAATCAGAATCCAAGCACGTGGAACCCTTCCCCTGAATATCGAGTTGTCGAAGTACATTGTTGAGTGGAACGGGTATTGCTTCAGGCAATTTTTGTAAGCGCATCCACTTTGGTTCTTGGCTCCTTCAGTTTTATCAATGTCTAATATTGTGTATCATGTTGTGTAAGCAATACAGCCACAGCTGTGGTTCCTTGCAAGTGTCACAACTCATGAATGCGTGGAACTCTTGCCTCCATGGTTGCAAGGGTGTCAAAAACCAACCAAGGTAGGGGCAACACCATCTGGCTCAATGGTATAGATGATTCTAAAGCTGATGTTTACAGTGCTTTACGCTTGAAAGTTTGAACTCCAAACTTCATGAGCTGAACACATCGTCATTCTGAAGTTCCACAGACTCCGAACTTCAAAACTTGAACTAATGGGACGACTGCCAATATGACGTTATGCGACGCAATTGATCATTCAAAACTGCATTATGTGCAAGGCGTTACATCTCAGCGAGGATGCATCATATCAACAGGCCTAGGACCACGACAGCTCGCATTTCTCAAGCACCACCCTTCTGCCCTGAAAGTATACATGAAACTCTAGATACCTCAGGGAGGATGCATCATGTCACTAGGCTTAGGAGCATGATAGCTTGCACTTGCCAAGCACCGCCCTTCTGCCCTGAAAGTCAAAATGAAGCTTTAGGGTCTGGCCACACAGCACACGAAACGAACACGAAACAAGTGCATCTGCCCACAAAAGGTGGGAAAATACACTCGTTAGAGTCGTTACTGTTTATAGCAAACCGATGAAACTGTCAATTTTCTGTGGGAAGATGAACTCGTTTCATTTTTCATTTCGAGTGCCGTGTGACAATTCCCTTAGATATCTGCACTGGTAGCGCCCCACACATCACGGTTCTAACTACCAAGGATACACACCTTCAATGCCTCAAAAAGACCAAACCCTCACAATTTCAGTTTGAACTTTGGAAACTGGACCACGGATGAATCCATAACGAGAGTTGGCAACTAACAACCTTAGTGAGGTGAGAGAGAGAAAGATCTCACCTCTGCTGTAGATGCTGTGGATATTTCTCTCAGGGTTTTACGGATAGTCTGTCGCTCTAGCACCCACACACAGGATTCCTCTAATGCTCGGATTGTAGCAGTTCGTGGCGTGGTGTACATCATGGCTAAATCGCCAAAATAATCACCCGTTCCTTTCACACTGATCTTGCGCTCAGCACCGTTCATCACTTTTGTGCACTGCAGCACAACATAAGTACAAAAGACCCACAGAGAGTGATAAGCACAACAAGCTACAGGCAAGCAGAGTAACTGCATTCATAAAGGAAGAGGAAGGAGGGAGATTATTGGAGAAATGGCATGTACTGATGCATAGTAATATGACTATAGGTAGCAGCTCACAGGGTGGTTAACCGGCTGGTAGGAGTCATAAGAATAAGAGCACTGGCATACACTAATGGGCGTTGCATATAGGAGACAACTGTGTTCAGAAATCATGAACAGGGCCAACAGGCTGAAAAAAAAAAAAAAAAAAAAAAAAAAAAAAAAAAAAAAAAAAAAAAAAAAAAAAAAAAAAAAAAAAAAAAAAAAAAAAAAAAAAAAAAAAANAAAAAAAAAAAAAAAAAAAAAAAAAAAAAAAAAAAAAAAAAAAAAAGACGAAGTTACCCATCAAGGAGTAAAAGATACACTGACCAATTTTATATAGAAGAGTGGCGTTAAGAAAAATAGTTGCGCCTAGTTTCAGAAAAAAATACACTGACCAAATGTGAAATGCTAGTTGCAGCGAATCCCTCAATCCGCAATCTTCACCTGTGACCAATTATGTCATTTGAATGCACAATCTCATTGCCTTAATCATTCAAATGGTCCATCACCGTCTTCTTTTCTTTTTTATTGCAAAGCAGGGGAGCCCCTAAGCTGACTGTTTCTGTCAGGATTTGAACTTATCATCTAATTATCAACAGCTATTTTAATACTGCTATATGTGTGCGCCACTCAGTCACATAGTTCCACAAGGCTGGATAACACTTGCGGCGCACCGATGCGCTGCGCAATGTGATGCCGTGCACGGTGCGCGCACTGATGCGCTATGCGCTGCGAGACACTTCAATGTGCAGTGTGCCGGTGCGCCAGGGCGTGCACGTGCCGCACGCATTTGCACGCATGCGTGGACTGAAATACTAAGAAATACTAAGAACTCGTTGCGCGGAGGGAAGGGAAGGAGGAGATCGATGACGAGGGAGGAGGAGATCGATAGTGAGGGAGGAGGTAGAAGGGAGAAGGGCAGAGGGAGGACGACCCCAATAATGGAGGGAAGGGGAGGACAAAGACGAAGGGAGGAGGAGATCGATGACGAGGGAGGGAATGGAGGAGGGAGGAGGAGATCATGTCGATGCGCCACATGTATGGGCTGGATAGATGCATAACTTAAAAAGTTTTGTGAACTTTTTTTCTTTTGAGTACATTGCATGGCAACCGGACCGGAATCTAGACGGTCTGGTTGTCTGGGTACGGGTCTGGTGTCTGGTCCGGTAGGTCTGGATTGGGCCCAATTTTGAAAAATTCGAAATTCTTTTTGGGTGGGCCTAGGACGTTTTTGACCGTTTCAGGGCCTACCAGAAAACGTCAGACGCTTCCAACAGCTCCCTCTTCTGTTGTACTACACTGGTAGTTCATTGGATGAGGATGAGTCTGATTCCAAAAATGAAGCGCTGGCTGCAAAGCGCCACAGAACATCAAGCTAGAGAGAG